TCTCTCTCTCTCTCTCTCTCTCTCTCTCTCTCTCTCTCTCTCTCTCTCTCTTTCTCCTTCACTTGTAGTATAATCTCAAAGGCCAAAGAAGGACGGGAAGTTTTTGTCCAATAAATGTTTCTAAATTCAGGAAAAGAATAAGTAAAAAATGAGCTCCGTCATGAGGATCTATTTATCTTTTTGCAGGTTCTTGCCAACTTTCAACTCTGTAGCTGTCTTTGTTTTATGGGAAAAGTGACACATGTGTTTCCAAGTTGTCAAATATATAATAGATATTGGCCCATCCCAAAGCAGAGGGGCCCCAAACTCTGTGGGGGGCAGGAGGGCCTGTGGCAAACAGCAGTCTTAGCCCTTAAAGCTCAGCGAGAAGAAGAAGAAGAAGAAGGAAATGGCGAATCTCTAAGGTGTTTTTACAGCTAAAAGTAAAAATTACGACACGAAGAAAAGCGAGCTTAAATTGAATATTATTCTCTTGAGAGGAATAGCGGGGTGCTCGTATGTCAACCACTTTTGTGTCCGTCCCCGGCAAAGCTTCGGATAACTAGAACAGAACTGAAAAACGGCAGTGTGACTAACACAAGTTATGTGGGTTTTTTTAAATGTGTTTCTAAACAATGCGTCTCTGACCGTAATCAAATGACCAGAACGCGTGTATTCCATGATTAAATCTTATTATATAGTTTGTTACTCACGAGAAACTCCTTCAATATCCAAGGCACTTCGTGTAAGCGAATAGAAAATAAATAAAATAGCGTTCATACTACTGAGGTAAATAAATCTTTAGAAATGTGTCTGCTACACCCCTGATCTCAGGGTAGGTAAAATCGAACAACTAGGCTTTTCGGATAAAGAAAAAAATCTTGGAGGTCCTGTATACAAGTAGAGCACTGAAAGATCCATTGGTGGTCATAAAATCGATAAGAGGAGGCTTCAGCCGCCATCTGGGAAAATTCTAAATCAATTCCTACCAAAACTGAAAACTAATACTCTTGTAAGTATAAAAACATAAAGCACCTTCGAAATCGAAAAGAGACTTCCTGAAGACAAGGAGCCCAAAACTAAAATGTAAAAGCGGTCAAACGCGTAAAAATCAGTTGCACTATAGGTTGAAAAACCAGCAGTGGACTACCCATGAAATTTAGCAGGCTAGCTCCAAGAAGAGCAGAAGAAGAAAAGGAAGAAGAAAATAACTTTGTCCCTTAGAAGGAGATGTGTCGTCATGGTACGGACGCTATTGGTCGTGACGGTGACAGAAGAAGAAATACAGTCTACCTATTATAAGTATCTGTAAATGAGACAACAGATCTAAGAACCATGAGATGGAAGATGCTGGGCATATGGATACAAGATTTAAAAAATCACACAAAAATACGATAGAAAACAGGAGTGACACACAACCCCATATTTACACTGCAAAAAGTTTAACAGAAATGAGCTGACCACGTCAGCAGAATGAAGGACGACTGGCGGATACAAAAAAAAAGTTTACGGAATGGAGATTAAGAACAGGAAAAAGATCAAGGGGTAGACCAGACAGAAAAAAGGCAGGACACATCAACGAGAGGGTGGGTGAGTGCAACCTGGATCTACAAAACTGCTGATAAAACAGAGTGGAGTTTGTATTTAGGCGGGTTGCACCCTGCAATGAACAAACAGCGCCCAGAAAGAAAATAATAAAGAAAGAAAGAGACAACAGATATGGGGGGGGGGGGGGGAACGATGCTCTAATAAATTATGCTCTTATTTATGGCAATCTATTTTAAGCCGGATGAGCGTTCGTGAGTGCATTAGTGAAAAGGTGAACAGCAGCAGCGATAGCAGCAGCAACAACAACAACAACAACAACAACGACGACAACGACAACAAAAATAACAACAACATCAACAACAACAACATCAACAACAACAACAACATGAACAACATAGGCAACTACAATAACAACAACAAAAGCAACTGCAACAATAATAGCAAGAACAACAATAACAACAACAACAATAGCATAAGAGTGATAATATCAATGATAACAACAGAAAGGACGGCGAGGAAGACAGTAAAAGGGGCGTCTGTAATTATGGCAATAGTTGTAAATAACCATAGCACCATCAACATAAAAACAACAACAACAACAACAACAACAACAACAACAACAAGAGCAATAACAACAATAACAACAACGACAACAACAAAAGCTACAACAAAAACAACTGATATGAGAGCAACATCATTACGTTTAAAGCCAGCATATTATTATATTATAATAGCACTCTAAGTAATAGAAAGAAAATGATGATAAAAACTTTCAAGCAAATTTGCGCCATAATATATTGGACAAAAACCAAAAAACCAAAAACAAAAAAGCACAAAAAAACAATGAAATAAATGAAATAAGTAGTATAATGTTGTACACTGTACATGTTTCCAACCTCTCACACTTTATCCCCCACTCATCTGACAGTCGTCTCAGACATGTAACTGCACGCTGAATATAACCATTCTCATTTTCTTACCACCTCCATTTATGCAAATGATGCTATTTACAAGAAACTTGTCTCCCTTTGATGAAAAAATTCTTGCACTTTATATATATATATATATATATATATATATATATATATATATATATATATATATATATATATATATACATATATATATACATATCAGACAATGATCCCCTCTCAAACTTACACGCATGAAAAAAAAGACAATAATGAGTAAGTTTACGCTTTTATAAAGAAAACATTATTTGAACCGGTGGTTGCTACATTTGTATTTTCTGGAATATATTTCATGCCACTTTTGGACGCTTTAAAGCCGTGCTCAAGCATGAATTGGTTGATACTGATGATTTCATCTTTCGATTTCGCCATCCACTCCATCTGAATGACTCTCACGTCGACTTCATCGAAGAATTTGTGTGCGCATGACAGTGCCTTGGCTTCCGCTCTCTCAATGTCGATCTTGATGAAGACTTTCTTTGACTTGAGCAGCGGGATGAGATCATCAATGCAGATGGTTTTGACAGTGACTGTATGGCTATTATCTTCCCGCATGCCGTACTTGGCAAAATCTGTCTTGGAGACGTTCAGATGAGTAGCTCCAACGTTGCCACTACGGAGAAAAACAAAAGGAAAATGGTCACGCTTAGGAATCGCTCGAATTTCCAGGCGAAAGACTCTTTTGAGGCAGGACAACATAACTTTTTTCTTCTTCTTTTTCTTCTTCTTCTTCTTCTTCTTCTTCTTCTTCTTCTTCTTCTTCTTCTTCTTCCTCCTCTACTTCTTCTTCCTCCACCCATACAAAAGCCTCCTCGCCACACCCCCTCCCCCCTTTTCCTCATCATTTTGTGGAAGACCCCATTCAAACACTGACCAACCCCCCGGGAGGTGCTACTGATTGATGTGTCTTTAGGCCATTCCCAACGGGGGGACATTAACCTGTTCTTATGAACAGTAGAATTGTAAATTGTGTATGGGCTGATTCATCAATGCCATGCTCATAACTGAGCCTGAACTGCAAGCAGGGAACTGCTGTCTTTTCTTTCCTAATCCTTACTAATGTGTCACACTCTTGTGATCCGCTATTTCCGGGGTGCCTTGATAATCGGAACAGACGTTGTGCTGTTGAAACTAGAGAGGTGATCAGAGTAAACCCGATTCCCTGCAAGGACGTCTCTTTTGACATCCACCCCTTGGCGCTCATATGACCTTATGCAGCTGTTTAAAACCTTTACTAAAACTTTTAAAAAACCCACTGACCTGATGAAGTTAGCTGTGAGCGAGCGGTGGTCACTGAAGAGTGCATTGTTGACCAGTGTGACCTGGTTACTGAGCCCACTCTCCGCTAGTGAGTGCTGGATCTGGTGGATGTTGGCCGGCAACATCTCCACTGACAGGACGGTCTTGCCACACGCTGCAGCGAACATGGTGTAGATTCCTATGTTGGCGCCCATGTCGATGAACTGAAGCGTTGGGTCAGACTGTGAAAAAATATTACAGCAGCCATATTAGACACATTGACACACACGCACAAACACACACATGCACATCACACACACACACACACACACACACACACGCGCGCGCAAACATACACACACAAACATACACACGTACACACACTTACACATTCTGTCTGTCTGTCTGTCTGTCTGTCTGTCTGTCTGTCTGTCTGTCTGTCTGTCTGTCTGTCTGTCTGTCTGTCTGTCTGTCTGTCTCTCTCTCTCTGTCTCTCTGTCTCTCTCTCTCTCTCTCTCTCTCTCTCTCTCTCTCTCTCTCTCTCTCTCTCTCCCCCTCACGTTCACAGAATCAAAATACGATAATATACATTTAATATATTTCGAAATACGTTTATCATTCAATGCTCTGAGCTGTCATAAAACGCATGGGCCTCTACCAGAATGAACTGAGTTCAACTCCTGAAAATGTTGGTATTTTGTACTTGTGATATAAGACTTCTCTGCAAGTTTAGAGCACGGGCAGCAGTGCTTAATGGCATGTGGTTACGTGGTTTGGACATGTCTTGCTAGTCTTGCCAGAAAGCGAGCTTGCACTGAATGTCTCCTTGTGAGGAGTAGCGGAGCGCTCGTGAGGCAACCACTGCTGCGTCCTTAAGACTTTTATTCCTGGTCGAAAAGTAGAGCATCATTGAACTGATGAATATGCTTAACCCTATCAGTACGCCCTGGGGTCATTTTAGAATACTTCTAGTGCGAAGATCTCTTTGAAACGTTCAGTATTTCTCAAAAAATTATTTTGACAGACTGGTATGCAAAGCGTACGGATCGGATTAAGGAGTAAATTTCCTCTTTGGAAAGAGGTGGCACAGTTTCCCACGTCGTATGGATACGATAGTAAAACACGACATACGGATCGGATAAAGAAATTATGATCAAGGTTATTTGACTTCGTGTGGCAGAGGGCTGTGGTGGGGCAGTCTGAAGACTATCAAAGTCAAAAGATACACTGTGTACGAGAGTGTCTCAGGGGTCACTTAATGACGTTATGAATTATAATATGGTCCTTCATTTGAGTTGTACCTTTGCGGGATATTTCTGTTTGATTGTGATGTTCAAACACACAAGCGAAGGCTTATAGGGCGATTGGGTTGTTTTTAATTTGGTAACGGGAAACATCACTGTACGGTATTGTTCTGCAATAAGTCTTGGCAAAGGTCTTGTAGTTTACAATGCAAGAGGAAACTTCGTCAAAAGTCAGCACACCCCCCCCCCCCTTTCATGTCAGAGATAATATCTCTCGTCTTGCGTTGTCGTATTGTAGACTTTAACCCTATCCGTACGCCCTGTGGTAAATTCTTCACATTTTAAAATACTTTTAGCTCGAAGATCTCTTTGAAACTTTCAGTATTTCTCAAAAAATCATTTTGATAGCCTGCTATGCAAAGCGGACGGATCTGATTGACGTGTAAATTTCCTCTTAGGAAAGTGGTGGCACAGATTTCCCCAAATTGTATAGATACGATAGTAAAACACGACGTACAGATAGGGTTAAGTTATGCACAGCCAGCTTTTTTCTATGACAAGAAGAGGGAGCCTTGAGCATTGGGCACAACAAGACGCATTGCAGGCGACGCCCACTCTGACGGTTCCTTTTCTTTGTTCTCTGAGGCCGAGGCAGTCTTTTTTGTAAATGCATTTCTTTTGCCTCGTGGCGTTACCTCTTTGCTTTCTTTGTGAACTAGATCTATACACCACCCCAAATTAATGTGGCACGAAAGTTTGGATTTTTTTCTCTCGGTCTAGTCAATTAGATGGTTTTTGCATATTATTTAACGTTCACTTTTGGTGGAGTTTCGGTGTCGGTAACGAAGGTGAAAGTTAAAAACCGAACACCGAGAAGAAATTCCAACATAGATGGGATTGAAGTTCGGAAGTAATGATATAGCGATAATCCAGAACAGTTCCCTCTAATCTACGGAAGTAATGATATAGCGATAATCCAGAACAGTTCCCTCTAATCTACGGAAGTAATGATATAACGATAATCCAGAACAGCTCCCTCTAATCTACGGAAGTAATGGTATAGCGATAATCCAGAACAGTTCTCTCTAATCTACGGAAGTAATGATATAACGATAATCCAGAACAGCTCCCTCTAATCTACGGAAGTAATGGTATAGCGATAATCCAGAACAGTTCCCTCTAATCTACGGAAGTAATGATATAACGATAATCCAGAACAGCTCCCTCTTATCTACGGAAGTAATGGTACAGCGATAATCAAGAACAGTTCCCTCTAATCTACGGAAGTAATGATATACGATAATCCAGAATAGCTCCCTCTAATCTATGTTTTCTATACAAATCTGAGCACCCATGGGTCGTGTATGTAAAAGCCTTCTATCAAAATTCACCCTCTCCCGCTTAGCATCAGAATCTCCTTCAGCATGCTTAGAAATGCAATAAAATTTTACCCCTTTGTTGTCATCAATGTGAGCTTAAATTTGAACCTAATTATTTTCGGTACATCTAAGAAGAACATTGTAAAATATACCCCAAGACGCAGACAAGCTTCCCGGGAGAGTTATAGCTACGTACATAATTTTGAACACCTGGGATTTGACCGCATGTTCAGTTGGGCAACGGACTTTTATCTTTTCGTGTTGTTTCTCAACATTTACAGTGTGAAATTTGAACACATAATTATCATTTCGCTACCTCACAATCACAAAGCTCTATCAGCTCAGTGCCTAGTTAAAAGAAATTTGACGTCGAAAATTTTGAGTTTCACAACATGTCAAGCTTTTTCGAAGGCAATTCTTTCAAATATCTTGATAACAACTCAGAGAAATAATCTTACGATTTTGATAAAGCAGATAGAACATTTGGTTTCTGACCTCATGGTTTTAGTGACTCAAAACGGCCAACAATGTCAGATGGAACTTCGAAATTTAAATGTAGCGGTTTTTCGAGTTCATACAACCGACGACGTAGATTAAACAACTGCAATTTTATAAAAGTCATGATTTTTTATTTTTTTTTACTTGTCACGTATTTTTTTTTTTTTTTTTTTTTGGGGGGGAGGTTTGGTAAGTGTTTTTACGGCGCTCGCAATTGGATAAGGTCATATTAGCGCGCTGACGTTTTGTCATTGGCCGACGATTTACAACAGCCTATTTTCAGAACGATCTGAACTGTATCAATGGCATGCGAAGCGTTTACAAAAAATTAGAAAAAAGATTTACCTGAAGCACATCAGCCATCTGACGAATGAGATGACGCTCAAACAGCCGTCCTTCCTGTAAAGAAAGAGAGGGAGGAAAGATAACGCATGAAAGAGTGCCGGAGAGAGAGAAAGAGAAAGAGAGAGAGAGAGAGAGAGA